TGCTGCTGCTGCAACCAGATTCAAAGTTCGTTTAAATCTGTCACTTCCCCAAGCCAGTGCTGTGATCTCGGGACTGATTTAACGTAACCAGTTGGGAGAAGATATATCCGTAGGGGTACCTCATCTGTCACCTGCTCCACTTAGTAACAGTCCCTCTCTCAGCAAATTTAAAAGATGAATGTTGCCTACTGTCTGTCCTGTGCTGCAGAAAACTGGTTGGATTGGACTTGGCTGTGATTACACATGGAGATCTTTAATACTAGCCAATAGTCAGGTAGCATGTGGTTTTTATGATCTCCTGATCTGGAGCAGCTGGTAAGGTGCAAAAGGTTTCATAAGGCTTGATTTTCCATGTTGCCTGGCTTCTGCTTGCCTCTGTGGAATTTTGTGCATACTCTTCTTGTGCATTATCACCTGCACATGCAAGGTGTAGACTCCTGTGCATTGGGCAGGAGTTGAGTGTGTCAGTTCTATCTAGATATGTATGGTTTTTGTGTGTGTGAACAAGGCAGTGACTATCCTCTCCTGTGTGCTTAGGTGACTGCACACAAAAAATGGGTACTCAACTGAATATGCATGAGTGAAGGTGCCCTTTTAAAAAGCAGGCCCACAGCATTTGCAGTATTAGCTTGGGAATATTAATCATTTCCCAGAGCTGTGCGGAGACGAGCCTTGGTCTCCAAATCTAGATCTGAATCTGAACGCCCCCAAAGTTCAGGACCGGGGACTTGAATTCCTGGTTCAGCCCCATCTCTAGTTCTGTGTGGACTTCCTTCTTATACTCAATTCAATGAGGTGACACTGATATTATCCACTTACACCCAGTATTTTCATTCCGTTCCCACACAGTGCCAAATTCAGACCTCATGTAAGCAGATGCAACTACATTGATTGGAATGGATTTCAAGGGAGTGGCACCCACTTAGAGGCTTATGAAAAGTATGTCCTGCCACTATTCCTTGATGCAATGTAAACCCCATCCCAGCTGCTTAAAATTTCTTCAAACTTAATTAAATCATCCTTCTACTTGATCTCCTGAATGTAAATGTGCAATCCTTTTCCCCAGTTGTCTTGTCAAAATAGCTGCAGCAGCAGTGTCAGTGAACAGCACCCAACAACCTGACTGTGACCGTGTGCAGGGTTCTCTCATGCTGGTATCAGGAGTTAATCACCGTCTCTGTCCTATGGCCATAAAGCATTAAGAGCAACTTCATTGTGAGTTTCCCTTGTGCAGTTCTAATAGGTCTGATTTTGTTCTCACTGAGCATGTCCAAAACACCCCAAGGAACTATGGATCTGTCCTCTGCACATTAAAGCTGTTACTATGGAGATGGCTTATTCCCAGGGCGTTTGAAGCACACAGAGTAGATTTAAAGGCTAATCCTGGGGGAAGGGTTTACATAAGCAAGAAATCTTAGAAGGCCAACTCTTCGTGAGAGAGCTTGGGGATTCCATGATTCCTGTGATTCTAACAGTCTTAGCTAGACCCTGGCTGATGAATAGATAGTGATGGTTAGTGTTGGTGGCCTGGCACTTTGTCATTTTTAAGTGGGTTGAATATTTTTTTTAATGGTCTCCAAGTTGCTAAGAAAACTGAATTTTAAAAGCTACCATCTTAGACCATGAACAGCACACTAATTGCATTATCAAAGGAGCATATGAAAATTTGTACCTGTAGTTGTCCCTAAAATTTTAAAAAGGCACTATATAAGTAACAGTTAATTGATTCACACATTGTTTATAAATACACCTTAAAATCACAAAAGCACCCCTGTTTAGATTCTGATTTTAGAATACATTTTTCAGTCTGTAGTAGTATTTTTATTCTGATAAGGTGTTTTTTAAAGGGGAAGGAGATTAAAAATATAAATATTTGAGTTTTCCCTCCTTGTCCTGCTCTACCTTGTACCCACACGATTACAGATGTTTTTAAATATATATTTACTTTGTTCATGCTCTCTTTGCTCTGATTTTACAGTGGCCTGGGAATGGGTTTCAAATGAAATTTTAAAAAATATTAGTTATTTACACAGTAGCCTAGTGATCATTAAAATATGTATATAGCCTTTTAAAAATGTCATGTATTTGATAGAGATACTTCTTACATAATTAGTCCAAATCCTTGATCTTCTTATAATAATAATGTTACAGTACCACCTACTGACTCGGTGCTAGGCATTGTACAAACATATATAGACCCTGCTCCCAAGAACCTACAATTGAAATAAAGGTTCTGACCATCTGTAGCTGACATTCAAGATACTAAGTGTTCAATGCTATTTCTTTCTTTTTCTTCTTTTATAGAATATAAAGAAACAGTCATGAACTAGGACCTGATTGTGCTAGGCGCTGTACAAACACAGAACAAAAAGAACAGACCCTTTCCCAAAGAATTTATAATCTAAGTAATCTCCCAGGATTTGGCCAATTTTATTTACTCAGAAAACCATAATGGTGTTTCTGTTAAACTGTGTAATGTAAATCTTTTGGAATCTTTCAGAACAAAGGAATCATTCCCATGCACGGACAATTCTTAAATTTCAGTATTTTGCCCCCTCCTACTCCCAACCATTAGACCAATATTGGCTTGAGTAATTGCTTGCCAGGTTTCAGGATTGAAATGAAAGATTTGTTTCTAAATAATATTGCCCTGTTGATTTGGCTTTAGCGTTGCCCTAACATTGGCACACAGTATCGCAGAGGGGTGCATGATATAAAGACCTCATTGGATTAGGTTAGACAAGCATGAATGGAAAGTTCACAAAGTGCATTTTCTGTAGTTTGCAAGGCCAGGCCAATTGCTCTGTGAAATACCCGCAGTTGGAGTTCGTTTGAGGAATTTCTAGAGGGTGCCTTAAATCAGCCCCTCAGGGCAATTGTACTTTAGAAGGAGTCTTCAGAGGAAGATTTGGAAATCAGATGACAAGAGTTAGTTAAGGTTGTCCCAAATAGTCTGCAATTTAGGGGTAAAAGTGGAATTGAGGACAGATAAGATATAAAAACAAAAACTTGGGAGAAGCAGAAACCAGAGCTTGAATTGAGAGAGAAATACAAGTCACCTCATCAAAATATTTAAACAAAAGTTAATTTAATTTCTACAGCGAAGTAAGGGGAACTTACTACAGTCTCTTTGCTACAACTTTTACGAACACCTTGTTGTTTTAGTCCCTCATGAGGCTTTACGATCAACCAGACCAGATTATCTCGGGTTGCTGAATAATTTTTCCTTAGCAACATCATAATTTAGGGTTACCATATTTCCACAATCAAAAAAGAGGACACTGGGGGGGGGGAAGCCCCACCCCATCCACTCCC